GTTGGTGAATGATTTGTGATGTATGAATTATTTATGATGAATTGGTGATCAGAATTAATTATGTTGGCATGTTGATTATGAACCACCCTTTTATTATTGGCATGATAGAGAGCATGCTTAATTGAACTAAATGTTTAATTTGGTTTGGAATATGAAAAGAGAATTTTATTATGGTTCATATAATTTTTATTGATGCTATAAGCATGGAAAATGAGCTATTTAAGTGTCTATGTACACAAGGATTAAATTATATTTTGGTGCCTAAGTGCACTTAAGGTGTTCTAAACACCGAGGGATAGGATTTGTGGTGCTTTATGCGCTTAAGGTGTTATCTAACACCGAGGTAGTTTAAAAAGGATTCAACATTTAATTTATGTGGTCACTAATTATTCAAGAATTAATTGGTATGTTTGATTGCTTGAATGAGTTATAATGTTTGATTGTGTTATGGTTTGAGAGTCATCACCAAGTATAATAATATGTAACGCGACGTAAAGTGAAAGAGATTACGCACCAAAACTCTTGGAACGTATATACCTTGAGTATAAACATATGGGGGGAGTTATGCGACTTTATATTTGACCATAACTTCTACTGGGAGTACAGGACGCTGTATATTCCTTTTTATTATGCGCAGGAATTCCGCCACTTACGAGTGGTTTCTTTTATACTGGCACGGTTAGCTCCCGTGTTAGTACCCCTTTATTGGGGCAGGTTAGGGGGAAACCCGTTCGATGCGTAATCAAATTAAATAGACATTGGTATTTGTCTAGTTAAGTGTTGAATGTCTTGTATGCTTGTTTATAGGTGCAACAAGGTAAGTTGTGTGATGATAGGATGAAAGCATGATAGTGTGTTTTTATTACGCTTATGTAATCAGCATTGATGATTGTGTTTTGTATGTTTGTTTTGCCTTGTCTTTACCTTGGCCCTACGACGACCCATTTCTAATGGCGAGTAGTGGGGACAAGTAGAGAGAAGTTTTTCAGGTGATGAAGCATTTTCATGAGACTAACGTAAAGGTTTTCAGTATTGTTTGATTTTAAGGGCCTACAGCGGTTCCAAGTTGTAGGTTGACTTTGTTTGCCTTTACTTTTTTTAGTTTGACTTTTAAGTTGACTTGTTTTGGATAGTTTTAAAAGATAGTCTTCCGCTGTGTGTCTTTGATATTTGCCTTAGCCGTTTTCACAGTGGCGGTAATGTCTTAGATTTTCCTATTTCGTATTTTAAAAAGGACAAAACAGGTATTTTAAAGGAAAGAAATTTCTAGGGTGTTACAGTGACATTTCGTCACTGAATTTGAAAACGAATTTCGGCCCAGCCGAGGTGCACATTGTATCGCCGGTACGTTCCCTAAGGTTACACACCACTCTCACTCAAAGACAATTTTGGGTGAGAGGTGGAGCCATATAAACTTATTCCCAAAGAAGAAGAATGTGTTTAGCTCTTTTTGATATGTATAATGCGTACGTCATGTAATCGCTGATTTTCTCAACCAAGGACACTACTAGAAATAGGCCGTTTTCCGAGGGAATTGTTCCGACGAAGCTAATTCCGTCGGAAAATCCGAACTTTTCGACGGAATTAGGGTCTGTTGGAACATTCCATCGGAAAAGGTTCGTTACGACGAAAATCCGTCGGAATTCTTGCGACGGAAGTTAATTCCCTCGGCATAATAGGCTTCCGACGGAATATTCCGTCGGAAAGTTAGTTTTCCTACGGAATTTAAATTCGTCGAAATTTTCCTATGGAATATTCCCTCGGAAAACCCAAATATTCCGACGGAAAAATCCGTCGGAACATTCTAATATATATATATATATATATATATATATATATTTTTTTTTTTTTATATATATATATATATATATAAACGGAAATTTTTTAGCCTTTAATAATAAAAAAAATAAAAATAAAATAAAACAAAACATAAACCCCGAAATTTCATTGGGAACCCTAATCCTCTTCTTTCCGCCTCTTTTCCCTATCTCTCTCCTCTCCTCTCATCTTCTCCCTTTCTCTCTCCTCCTTCCTCTTCTCTTCCTCTTCTTCTCTTATCTCCTCTCCTCTCCTCTCCTCGATCTTTTCCCTTTCTCTCTCCTCTTTCCTCTTCTCTTCTCTCTGATCTCCTCTTCTACAACAACAACAACAATCAACAAAAGGGGGTCGCACGTCACCGTCAACAACAAACAACATCAACCGCAACAACCACCGTCGCCAGCCACGTATTTCAAGTTTTTTGTTTTTGTAGATCTTTTAATTTAGGTTTGAGTGTAGATGTAGTTAATTTTGAATGTAATTATAATTGTGTAATTATATAATTTTTTTGATTTTCGTTGTTTAATTTTCGGTTTTTTGAATTTTCTGTATTTTTTTAAATAAATTGTGTTAATATAATTTTGTTTATTTGGGTTTTATTTCGGTTGTTTAATTTTGTTGTTTAATTTTCGGATTAATTTGCTTGATTTTTTGCGTTTATTTGGGTGAATTTGTTTTTGTTTTGGATTTTTTGGGTTAATTTGGTTTTATTTGTGGGTGGTGGTGTGGTGGTGGTGGGGTGGGGGTGGTGGATTACGGGGTGGCAGTGGGGTTAGGGGTGGTGGGTGTATAGGGGGGTCTGTGTCGGGTGGGTGGGTGGTGGGTGGTGGTTTGTTGTGTATGGGGGGGTCTGTGTGGGGTGGTGGGTGTATGGGGGGTCTGTGTGGGGTGGGTGGGTGGTGGGTGATGGTTTGCTATGTATGGGGGGGTCTGTGTGGGGTGGTGGGTGTATGGGGGGGGTCTGTGTGGGGTGGGTGGGTTGTATGGGGGGGTCTGTGTGGGGTGGGTGGTGGTTTGCTGTGTATGGGGGGGTCTGTGTGGGGTGGTGGGTGTATGGGGGGTCTGTGTGGGGTGGTGGGTGTATGGGGGGGTCTGTGTGGGGTGGGTGGGTGGGTGGTGGGTGGTGGTTTGCTGTGTATGGGGGGCCAGGGGGGTCTGTGTGGGGTGGTGGGTGTATGAGGGGTCTGTGGTGGCGGGGGTGGGTCTGGGTGGGGCTGGTGTGGGCTTTTTTTTTTATTATTAGCTTTTCCGACGGAAATTTCCGTCGGAATATACCACCTCCGACGGAATATTCTGTCGGAAGCTTCTCTTCTTTCTACGGAATATTCCGTCGGAAGGTTCTCTTCTTCTTACGGAATATTCCGTCGGAAGATTCTCTTCTTCCTACAGAAAAGTTTTCATCGTAAGCTTGCGACGGACTTACGATTTTAGTCAAACTAGGGTCCGACAAGATATAATCCGTCGGAAATTTCGTTGGAAAACACTGTTTCGACGGAAATTCCAACGGAAATGGCCGTTTTTCCTACAAAGGGTCTTCCGACAACACGTTCCGACGGAAATTCCGTCAGAATAGTGTTTTCCGACGGAATTCAGGATGTTTCTGACAGAATTTTTCCGTCGGAAATGGTCTGTTTTCTAGTAGTGGGAATATATATCATTCACGGTAATATAAAAGGATGAAGAAGATGAAAGACAAAGATATTAATTAGAAATTAAGAGAATTAACCAACTCATAAACATCCCATTAAGAAAGGAGTTAAGCGTAGGTTACAAAGCTAGGAATCCCAATAAAGAGAACAAGAAAGCCAAGAGAATGAATCTAGACATGGAAAAAGTCTACTCCACAACCCACATGTGGGCAAACGTGGTAGGCCACAACCTACTTGTGAATTAGACTAATCATACTCTAGAAAAGTCATAAACCAACCAAAAAACATGGCATTTCCTCTCTTTACTCCAACAATTCCCAACTAAAGGGCGGAAAAGCAAAACCAACAAAGAGATGAGAAACAACATATTGGGCATAAGAGAAGATTAGTACATAACACATAGATATTACATAAGTAATTTAATTTGAAATCTAGTGCTTAGACCACTCACAATGGTGAGCAAAAAAAATGCCCACCCACTGTCTCTCTACCCACTTTCTCTCTCAACAAATTAGTTTTGCCCATGGGCAAATTTTTTTCACAATTTCTCTCCCAATGGTGAGCAAAAGAAATTCCTACCCACCACTCTCTCTCTCTCTTACTTTTTCAATACCCCACCATTACTTTCTCTCTCCTACACAACACTTCTTTATTTATTAATTTCATTTATATTTTAACAATATTACTCCAAATAAATAAAAACTAGTTTAAATTTGTGTAACTTATATTTTTTATTTTTGTCTTTATTATCGTTAAAATTTGTCGTAAAGTAAGTACGTTATATGAAATAATTGTAAAAAAAAGCTCAAAAATTCTCAAATGTTTTTATTTATTTTAAAAGTGGTACAATACTAGAAACCAATTACATTTTCAACGTCATGAGTAAATTAAACTTAGGAAATAAAATAAACACAACAATTAAAAAATAACTCGACTGCGTACGGAAAAGTAGGTAGGCCATAGTACTTGGCCTAAAGTTGTGCTAATTTTTCCCTAATTACGTGGCCCGTATTGTAACCAAATATATTCGACTAAATCACGTTTCAGAGATAGATGAATTTCTCTATCACGGAGGGAAGCTATTCGCTGTAGAAATGCGTTAAAGTCAAAGTCGGTAGGTCAGCCTACATTGAATTCAAACGGTGGCGTTGTAGACGTTGATGCTGGTGTTAATTCTTGTTAATCTTCTTCGTAGAAGGCTCTTAGAACTTCGGCTCGAGTGTAGTTGTGGCGCTCATCTTCAACAATCATGTTGTGCATAATGATACATGCTTTCATTATGTCCCGCAGTATGTCCTCATCGTACGCCAGCGACGGTTTTCGTATTATTGCAAATCGAGCTTGCAAAACACCGAAAGCTCTTTCAACGTCCTTTCGAGCAGCAACCTGGTGGTCAGCGAACATTTTATCTTTGGCCAGTTGAGGGAATGTGATACCCTGAACAAAAATTGCCCACTTCGGATAAATGTCGTCGACTAAGTAATAAGCCATGTTGTATTCATGGCCTTTAACTGTAAAATTTACCGGAGGAGCTCAACCATGCAGAACCTCATCGAACACTGGTGAACGGTACAATACATTAAGATCATTACAAGATCCGGGAATACCAAAGAAGGAATGCCATATCCATAAATCCTGATCCGCAACGACTTCCAGTATTAGCGTTGCTTTCTTGTTCCTACCGGCGTACTGCCCTTTCCAAGCCGTTGGACAGTTCTTCCATTCCCAATGCATGCAATCAATGCTGCCTATCATGCCTGGAAAACCACGTAGTACATTTTGATGCAGTATCCGGGCCAATTCATCAGTTATAGGGTTTCGCATGTACTCGGTTCCGAACTGATCAATGACCCCGGCACAAAAACGTTGTAGGGCAACTCGAGCGGTTGACTGACTGATTCGAACGTATTCATCAACGTCGTCTGCAGCCATGCCGTAGGCTAACATTCTTATCGTGGCTATACATTTTTGCAGAGGTGATAAGCCTAACCTTCCAGCTGCATCCCTACCCTGCTGGAAGTAAACATCACCTTCAACGACCTTGTTCATTATACGTAAAAACAAAGGTCGTTGCATACGAAATCTTCTTCTAAATTGGGTGGTGTTGTACACAGGATTATCGGAAAAATAATCATTAAATAGCCTGGCATGTCCCATTTCACTATCTCTTCTATTCATACCCCTCTACGTGTTTTTGAAGTACGTTGGGATTGTATGGGGCATGAGGAAAGATGGGGTTGGTATGTGAAGAGTTCATCAACGAGTTGATCATATTCTTCAGTATTGGAAGAAGATGAACTTGAACTTGAACTTGATGATTGTGATTACTCAATGACAAAAATGTGATTACTCAATGACAAAGAGTTATTGCAATTATGTTGGTATGAATGACCCAAATTTAAAGTGAAATCAGAAAAAAAGTGACTACCCAATGACAACAATTGAATGCAATTATGTCGGTAACAATGACAACTGAAATCAACTTGTTAAACAACTTGTCATTCAATATTGGAAAATCAGAATACAAGTTTACATATGACATTGAAATTAAACACACCACTAATACAAGTTAAACATAAAAGACTACATTACGCATAATTAAAAACTTAACTAATACAAGCGTACACCTACTACAACCAAACATGCTTAAAAGCCCTATAATTTACCCAGTAAAAAATTCTTGTACGACTCTTCTTTAGGAGTGAGTGGCGTAGGCGAATTCTTCAGAGTTTGCAACATATCAAACATGGTTCTCATCTTATGAATGTCAAGTTCCTCCCGTTTCCTCTGTTCCTTATCCTTTTCAATTTTGATCCTCTCTTCCTTCAGAATGGCCTCCCTTTCGCGAATTGTAGCAAATTCCTTCATTCGTTCGCTAAGCTCAGACGAACCACTTTCTGAAGCTACTTCTTTCCCTTTATGCTTGGCCTTTGCTTTCTTCACACCTTCGGGTCGTTGTATTCCTCCAGATGAAAAACCATCCGTAGGGGTTTCATCCCCTCCATCATCTCTGGACCTCTTCCCACTTCCAGCACTACCTTGCTCCTCAACATCACAAGAAGCTTTTCTTTCCTTCTTTGACAAGGACCATCTCAGATTTGGCCTCCACTTTGGATCTTTATTAAGCATTTCAACCGCGTGAGGAAAACCGAAGTTGCGACCTTGGGCGAGATGAAAAAGCTTCGACGCACTTTTTATACGGTCAGCTTCGTTGTAACCACTCCCTCCCTTCGGAAGTCTACCCGCTTCATCATAGCAAGATATCCACTGTAGTGTGTCTGCTTCCAACCTTCTCCGATCCAGTGCGACGTCAGGCTCTTCATAGGTCTTGGCGGAAGAATATGCGGCTTCTCCGCATAAGCCATTTGATATGCTGCGTGTACATCGCGCCAAAGGGAAGTTGCTTTTTGGCTCGTACCTTAATAGCATTCTCGCTGATCTCCAAGTACAACCCAATCAGAGTTTCATCTTCCGCAACAGACCAAATTCGAGTCGCTCGTGCAGCAACCTCGTGCGGTGGACCAAATTCTGGGAACTGTTGGAGGATATTGCGGCGTCTCTGGTACGCTTTCCTCTTCGCTCTCATCAAATTGTGTGTTGCTATCATGATCAGTTTCAGGTATACATTCTTCATTAACATGGTTTTGTAGGGGAAACTGAGTGGGTGTCTGATACTGTGGAGGTGGTTGCAAAGACGTATTGCCCATTCTTTGCAAAAACAATTGAAACTCGGGATTAGTTAGGAAATCATCACTAAAACCAGAAAATTGTTGACGGAAATTTGGGTTGTTTGGATCCATTAAAAGATTCTGCATCACAAAACAAAAGATAAATATTTTTACAAACATTTACTCAAAAAACAAATTAAAATGACAACAAATCCAAAAAAAATATCAACAACTTTCTTCAATTACATAATGCAATTACATTACATGGCATACAATATTTTTTTTTCAAAAAATCACATATATACTAATTTTAATACATAACTAAATTTAAATATTAAAAAAAAATTAACCAATAATTGCAACACTTTATTAACTACAAATTTAGTAATGTATGGAGAAAATATCAACAAATTTCTTCAATTACATAATGCAATTACATTACATGGCCTACAATATTTTTTTTTTCAAAAAAAACACACATATACTAATTTTAATACATAACTAAATTTATATATTAGAAAAAAAAATTAACCAATAATTGCAACACTTTATTAACTACAAATTTAGTAATGTATGGAGAAAATATATCAACAACTTTGTTTAATTACATAATGCAATTACATTACATGGCCTACAATATTTTTTTTTCCAAAAATCACATATATACTAATTTTAATACATAACTACATGTATATATTAAAAAAAAAAATTAACTAATAATTGCAACACTTTAATAACTATAAATTTAGTAATTTATGGAGAAAATATCAACAACTTTGTTTAATTACATAATGCAATATAATTACGTGGCCTACAATTTTTTTTATTCAAAAAATCACATATATATACTAATTTTATTACATAACTGAATTTAAATATTAAAAAAAAAAATTACCTGAATATGGGTGAATTGCAACAAAAACATTCTTCTACAAATTTAAAATACTTAAGAAAATTAAAATTTGGAGGATTTAAAGTGTTTACGAAATTATATCAAAATATATTAAAATGCATGTCTATTTATAGAGAATTTAATTTTATGACCGTTGGTAATTTTTTTTTATTAAATATATTTTTCAGAAAATCAATTACAAATATTATAACCATTGTAAACGGCTATAATTTTCTCATTGGCTGGTGAACCTGCACATGACACGTGTCGTCCTCCCATTCCCCAATTGACTGACGCGTGTCAGTCAGTATTCCTTTTTTTTTAAAAAAAATTTGCAACCTCAAAACGACGCGTTTTGAGGCGCGCCTTTAAGGCTGCTTCATCAAAACGCGTCGTTTTGATATGGGGTCAGCCAAATTTTTTTAAATGCGTCTGCCAGTTGTGGGGCCCACACGTAATACTATTCATCTAAGAAAATGCTCATGTTTTGGGCGTTTTTGGTTTTGTTCATGGACTTTTTTTGGTTTTTATCATTTCCTCACCATTGTGGTTGATGATCAAATTTTTTGCTCATCAAATATGCCCATGAGCAAAAAAAATGCTCACCATTGATAGTGCTCTTAGTGTTATGAGACAATGAACTACAAGTCTAAGGGTGGACAAACCTTGAAACCCTTAAAACTCTTGATCATAGAGTGGATGAACCTTTAAACTCTAAGATTTAGTGCATGATCCCCACAACACATACATCACTCCAAAATTTATATGAACTCCGCGAAGAGATATGCTCTTTTATAGCGAAGTATATTCACCTTAGGTCTAGTAGAGGCTCTAGGAAATCCGCCCAAGTTTTCCATAGAAGATGGCTAATCTTCACAACCACAAAGGGTGAATCACAAGAATTTTTCAATAGCACTTAGTCATTGGGGTTAAAACTTGTTCACAAGAACTCAACAAATGTTACATCGTAGCTATTAACCCCCACAAGACCATAGATTCATTAAGAGCATAATGCTAAACCTCACAAGTCACAACAATCATAAACATCGGTGATTCCAAAGTTTTAGTACGTCCACGCAAACATTTGGATTCATTAAAAGTCTAAAGACTCAACTCAAACGGTGGATCAGTCAAGTGCGTCTCTACTAGCACCAACCTAAATGGTTTATTATTGATCCATTAAGAACTCAAAAGAGCTCAACCTCAATCAAGCATTACAACATGTGCCATAGGGATAGAAAAGTAATGCTTTTAATCTTTCCACATGGGCTTAAGGCCTATCCCCCTCGACATTTCCACAAGTTATTAAGGATTGTTACATGTCCCAAATTTCCTTACCATAGTGCACAATTATTTTTGCTAGAATACTTTTTCAATAAGGAAAACTAGCATGTTACCAACATCAATTTAATTTGCACAAATGGTTAGAAAAATATGTCATATTCACCATTAGATGAATAAAGTAACAAGACAACCCAAAACTTAAAATTTCAAAAACTTACTCAATCAAGTCCAATACTTGAAAATAACATAACCGCCTTAGTGAACTTACTTCATCAACCACCAATCATCAACACTTGTCTTCCGAAAATTTTTGAACAACTTTTTGCGAAAGTTAGTGTATTTCCCAACCTTTGTACCTAAAAAGATACTTATTAAAAAATGAAGCAATTTTTAACAACGTTAGTCATTCACTATTAAATTTGTAAAATATTGCACTTCCACTATTTCACAAATATATGCTATGTTAAAATAAAATGCAATGCATGTCACTATCACATTGCTAAATGTATTAGCATACACCAATAAAGACATACTTTAAGACCTCTTTAAAGTATACACAATTCATGCCAATACAAAAACATATCCCACTTGAATGATGGCATGAACATGTCATCACAAAAATCTTCCCAATCACGAAACATGTATGACACTTTGGAAAAAACCAAAAGCTCATAATAATTATTGTTATTCTCAAAATAATAAAATAAATGTCATATTCACTTTCGTGAAAATTTCTTAACAAATTGGAAAGATAAGAAGTTCAAGAATGTTATTAACTACAAATACACATGTGATTCTCAACATCACCACATTACTCACATTGTAGAAATAACACAAAAATTAAATTACCTTGAAGCAAGTAGTGAGAAGCATACTTAGTCACAAATACTAGATTCTCACAAGGTACTACCCAAACTCTTGTACCACCTCATAGGTAAAAGTCTCAATACACACTTGAACTTTAACTCACATTTCTTATGTTCAACATGGAACTCCCCAACCAACTCACTTAAATCACCACTTAGAAGGCTTAACAAATTTCAACCACTACAGGGAAACTTATCATCAAGGACAATGATCTAATATAATTAAGTCATCTAAGTGAGACCTACATTGTTCTATTAAGACAAGAAAAATAAAGTAACCTTTACTCACAAGTTTAGCCTTAAAAACTTCCAACAAAACTTGGTGAAATGACATCGGAAACCTTTAGAAGAACCATTAAGAAACATACTCCTTATAAGGTTGTAAGGCTCTAAGTATGTTAGACAAGTTCTAACTTATTCAATTCTCAATGGTTCTTCCAAGGTAAC